TACTATAAACAGAAACTCAAACATCCCAGTTCTCACAGGGCTCATTTGGATTAGCTCAAGGAGACACAGGATGTTTATATGCTGATCATAATAGATCTTGAGATAATAATAATATTAATAAATCATATTAAAAAAAAAAAAAAGAGGCCTTCAGGTCCAGCACCAGCCTCTGCTAGAAATATACATCAACTACAGCAGCCCTGAAGATGTATTCCACGGCTAAGGATCAAGTCAACCCTCCCTGGCAATAAGCACAAGCAACAGACTCTGTGCTACTGTTGATAAAATTCTGCTTAGTCCACCATCCCACGCAGATGGCAAGGTTTACGGGATCATCGCGAGCTGCTGAATAAATAGCGCCTCTCCCTCCCTCCCTCTCCTCCAGTCATGTCACCAGGATCTCTTTGGGCTAGAAAGGGTTAACACCACAGTTTGTAAAAAGTTTTGAAATAAAAAGGTAACATAGAGCCTTAAAATGTCTAAACTGCAAACAACAGTGGAGTTAACTGAAAAGCACGTGCCCCAGGATAGTACATGCGTACGAGGGAGAAACTTAACACTTGGGTCTGCTCGTCTTTACACATTAGGTGTGTTTCTTGGAGTATTTGAGAAGGAATATTCAGCACTTGGACAACGTCTCTTTCATTTCATCCAACAAGTTGCTAAGCAGGGTGGAATCATTACATTTCCCGTCTATGGATACAGAATTCTCTCCCTTGGAAAGAAAAAGAAAAAGGAAATTTATTAGCTCCTCTTCTGAGCAGGGACAATTCCCAGCCAAGCTCGGGGACTGGAAACAGCCAGCGCAGCCTGCGCAGGAACGGGGCAGGCTTAGCCGAGAGGTCTGTCCAGGGAAGCCATCGGTGCTGCCGCGGGCCACCTGGTATGCGCTGGGCAAGAGCAACCCCCCAGGAAGGAAAAAGCTTGGCAGTAGCACAGCGAAAATGGCTAGATGGGCCAGGTGAATGAAACTGCCCATGGTGTCTCTGGATGATCTAGACAGGAATCTCTCCCTCTTTCTGTTAAGAGAGGGAAGGCTGCAGATTGAGCTTCTCTCAGGGCGTGTTTCAGAGGGGTACAACGCTCTCACCTTTTTTACCAGTAGGCAGACGTGATGGCCTTGGATAGAACGACTGTACATTGATGCACACGAATCAACACGCTCCACAACTACAAAGAAAGCAGGAGTTTTCATTTAGTGGGACAACTTTTAATACTGCGACCCATGAAGAAGAACTACTGCTTTGCCTGGCCTCAAGGAACAGAAGCTTCTGCTGAGCAAGGGGAGGAGGAAGTCAGGGTTAAGATGATGTACGTGCTGGGCTCCTCCTGCCTCCTATCTGGGATATTTCACAATAACGAGGTTAGTCATTTGTCTTTTAAGTAAGCTGCGAATGTTTTGTGGCAAAAATGCTGATCAGAATGTAGATCCCTTCCCCAGAAACACTCGCAGTGAGGCAATGTCTAATGCATGCACCAGAGCACGATGAAACAGCCATTTGTTTTGCTTCATCCACTACTCGTGTTTTAACTAAGTCCAAACTTGAACAGCTCATGCCCTCCCTCACTGAAAGGGGGGCACTGGGGAAAGAGGTAAAACGAAGCACTGAAGATCAACCACACCCTCCGGAGAAGAGCTCCAGCCCTGACTACAAGCAAGCTGCTCCCGTGACACCCGCCACGTGCCTCGCTGGACTGGAGGAACACCCCAGGGACAGAAGGAGGGTTCATTTTGAAGAACACTGTATGCTTTGAGGGTATCAGTATATTACAAAAAGCAGAAAAAAACTCCTCCCAAATGTATTTAATCTGGACATCACCTGCTTCTGTCATTGTTGAGGCCAAGGAGTGTTGCACTTGCCAAGCACAGCAGAAATTTTAGAATATGGAATTTTGCAGAAGGTTCTGCATCGAGGAAGACTCACCTGAAAAATGATGATGAAAACAGATCTTTGCCAGTAGATGTTGGAAAGAAATGCTAATTCCATCTACTTTAATAGAGCTCATGTGCAGATCCCCAGACTCCAGGAGCTTGGCAAAAGCATCGCTGCAAAACAGGAAGGAAAGTAAACACTCGTAATAGAAATTCAAGTGTATTCTGCCACATTATCCCCATGCAGACCTTGAGACATCTCAAGATGCAGAAGTCGAAGTACTACCAAGCTCTAGGAAAACGGGTTTCCAGCAAATACGGGAACAATACTCCAAACTCAAGTACGAAGACCTCAACCAGAGCTCTGCCAGCCTACAAGGGCTCACAGCTCCTGCGTCAGAATCACTTGAAATATGTTGCTGGACATATTTTAACAGTCAAACATTACACAAGATAACTGAACGGTAACCAAAGCAACCCCAAACAGCCAAAGTCAAAAGCATGCTGCGGATCTTGCAGAGATGGCCTTCAGCCAAAGCTCAGCTTCCCATGGGCGGCAGAAGCACCGGTGTCGTGCCCTCTACATGGCACTTACCTATAGCAAGGCGTCGTGATCAAGTATGAAGCACAACTGAAGTGCAATTTGAAATCTAGTTTTTCATGGGTTGAACCTTCATCATTCTGCAACAGGTCAAAGGAAAGGAGATGAATGGGAGCCTGGAGGCAGCAAGAGGAGGCACCACCCCCACCTACCAAACCGGCACCAAGGAAGACTTTAGGGCTCAGTTCCCTTTGATGGACCCTGGCTGGACCTGAAGGATCAGCCTGAGAACGACCGCCACGCTACCACATCAGGCCAGTTAGAGACAGGAATTGGGTAGCGGGGTTGATACACACACACCTGGAGCAGATAAGGGACACAACTGAAGGGATCTAGCTGCATTTTTGCTTGAACTCTACTGAAATATATTGAGCAGACTGAATTTAAACTAACACTTGGAGATGTGGTTTTACAGTTTGCTATTTCCCAAGCAAAATAAGAAATTAGTATCTCCCAGATTCTTAGGTACTGGAAATAGGACTAGTATACTATTTTTAAGAAACCCTTAAATAGAGATAACAGCTGACTCAGAAGTAGCCACAATTGTCTTCATTCACTTCCTTCGAGCTGTTCACACAGCTCCTTCATTAATAATTTTACTGAAATAAAATTAGAAGCCCACATCGTCTCGTACAGGTCAACACTTAGACAATGCCTTCGGCTAACCTCTCTCTTGTTCTGAGTTCCCATCCTTATTAACTGTAACCCATTCTGATTACTGTTTTTGGAGCCTTGTACCAGCTCACAGCGTCCAACTGATCTTCGGGTAACTGAGATCAGAAGACACAGACTCTGGGTTGCATCTCTCGCTGGCTGGTTGACGTCCTTTCCCTGGCAGATGCACCACTGCAGTGATTTTTCTAGCTGACAACGTGGCATATGTTTCAGGCTGCATTGCTCACACACTGCCAGGAATGACAATCTAGGACATGCTTACGCAGTATTCAGGACACTCTTTGCACAAGATGTCATGTAAAAATACTTTTTCACATCACAGAATGGGCTGGGGCAGCAGAGATGAAATGATGCTTCAAAAAAGCTCTAAAGCAGTGCTTTCCACCCAAGTCAAGCTCCCTGATGCAGTTCCACAGGAATCAGAAGCACAGAGGTTAAAGCTGCACTTACTTTGACTATAAAGGACAGGGTTCCTTTTAACTTCTGAGCCATAACAATACTCTGAAGTGTAAACACAAACTGGGCTTCATTAGAGATTCCTAGCATGAAAAGAGGAGAGGGAGAAGTCAGGTCAGAAAATGGTTTCCATATTTAAGTAATGATTAGAATAAACTCATCAGTAGCATCTAAGCTTCATGGACTATTTTCGAACCAAGTTTGAAGTTTTCCATGTAGTTGGAAGAGAGCTATATGCACAATTCCTGTTGTGAATTAACAGCGTTACAGCACTTGGCCCTTGGGTCTCTGGAAAGCAGCAGTGACAGCTGGCATTTGGTAAAGGTTATTGAGTGAGTGCTGGGCAAAGTACATCGCAGCGGCAATATATCTGAACTGTTTGTATAACTGGAAAATATATAGCTTTCCAAGGAGTTTTCAGAACTAATTTGAATTCTAATATTTCTGTTTTTCTTTTAAAAGTCTGTGTTAAGAACTGCCTTATATAAAATAAAAAAAATACCCCACTGCTTTCCACGGGGGATCAAAATACACCCTGAAGCCACTAAATCCCAGAAGACTTCTGTGAGCTGTGTCAGTATTCAAATTAAGTCTTTGTCAAAGGAAGTGAAATTCAAATAAGTTCAGTGATTCGATTGTACTGTGCATGAAGCCATTATCGTTCATCTCCATGTCTAATATTTCTTAAGGGCTCAGCTCCCCTCCAAAGAAGCACACAAGTATCAAAACCTTCACTGCATATGGCCTCTGCCATTAAAACAGTGGGACAATAGGTTGAGAATAAATCCACAGCGGATTCTAACGATTCAAGAACCTACAGCTTTGTTTCATTTTAAATCTCATAGCAAACTCCTCAGGAATTTGAGATTCCTGTTGTTGGCCATGCTGGCACGTTCAAAGGTGGGCCAGCCAGCAGCCAGCTGAAAAAGGAACTGAGACATTCAGACTCCCAATCCTACATTCTAGACTTTGCTCTGGCTGGGTAGAACCACCCGCATCTATCGCCACGCTGTAAGAAGGGTTATCTCCTCCAGTGAAAGCCCAGTGAACACCCAGGCAGAGGGTCATTCTTTCTGGAAAACAGCACGTAGCAAGAAGTTGAAAGAATTCTTTCCACAGGAGGGCAGTGCAGGACTAGAACACTGCCTGAACCCTGTGCAAAGCTGCGCGTACCAGGGGGTAACTGGAAGGGCACAGGTATCCCATCGTGTACTGATGATCCTTCTGGTCGGAGCATTTTAGTGTTGAGAGAGTCCAGGACATTTAGTTCCATGCTCTTAAGGAAGCTAGTGCTTTTGTTTTCAAAGATAACAGAGACAGTAACTTGACTATCATTCTGGAGGTTTCCTTGAATATCGTAGGTCTGCAAATGAAGAAAAAAAAAAAAATCACAGGAAAGATTCAGAAATTTCAAACAGCAGAGCACCAGAACAGAACACAGCATCAGAATAAAGCATGCTGCAAAAAGAAGGAAGGTAATTTGGTACAGCTATAGGATAGCGAAAAGCACACTGGTGCTCAGCTCTCCAGTACTGCTAAGTAGTGGGAAAATATCAACTCAAGAACTTGTTAAGTGGGACATCTAAAGGAATGGAAATGGAGCTTTGTTGTGTTTTTACCTCCTGGGATTTAAACATTTCTTCAGTTAAATACTGTCGACATAAAGTCACTATACTACCCCCAGGGTATCTCCTCTTTTCTTAGCACAAAAAGAGAAGACATCTGGGTTTGAATGCCAAAGAACTCACCATTTTAATGTAGGGATTTTCTGCGAGAAGGCGGTAACTGGACATAGGCTGAAAAACAAGAAAAATCACAGTCACAATATAACTAATTTCTCTGAAAAGAGCTGTCATTCTCCTTCCTCCCCAAACGGTTTAGCTCCTGCCTCTTCCCCAAGCTGCCAGAGCACAGCTACTCACTGGTAGTGGTTCATCATCTAGTGTTCCGTTCTGCACCGACTCTGTTGTCTCCTCCTCACTGTGATGACTCTTCTTTTTGGATTTCTTTTTATCCTTTGATTTCTCTTCTTTCTCCTTCTTATGCTTTTTCTTCTTATGCTTGGAAGATTTCTACCAAGAAGAAAAAGAAACTACAACAAACCCTTAAAGAAACCCTACATTTCTAGCTGTTACATCACGACCCCTCTTACCAATTTCTCAGCTCTAGACTCTCACTCTGTGCAGCCGTCTGGAATGAACCAAGTTTCCTACTACTGCAGAAACCCGATACGGAGTTCCCATTCCTTAAACCCCAATTGTCATCCCGTGCTGAGTCCCAATAAACCCTTGCTCCCCACTCAGATGACTAGACCTCAACCCAGAGCAGCCTGGGATGAGCAGAAGTCCAAGCCTCTTCAACTGTTTGTAGCTTTGAAACCACCGCCTGACCCTTGGCTCAAGGAACAGCCAAACCTCTCACTATGAAGTGTTTAAAACTCCTCAAGAACATAACATCCCACTGCTGTCTCTTTGCAGGTGGTCACTATACAGAATAGGATGCTGCTGGTCATTCCTGGGTGCTTCTTTTTGAGGAATAGGAGACAGTAGGAGAATATGGAGAAGGGTGTCAGCAATTTAAACCACTTACCTTTCCTTCATCCTCCTCCTCCTCGTCTCGCTCTTCCCTTTCCTCCTTTTTCACCTCCTGAGGTTCAGCCACAACAGCAGCACCCACTTCAGGCCCACTCTAAGTAAATTAGCAGAAGGATTATGACACTAAGGGAACGCAGCTGAAACAGGGGAATCTCACACCAAAAGAAGTCTTAACAGTGCTCGCCCCCCTCACCAACTGTTACTTCAAACATTACATTAGAGTAACATGGTATAAAGCTTTTAATTTTATGCCTCAAACTCAGAAAACATGATGTCCTGAGGACAAGATACAAAAGATTTCTTCCAATTAATCCATCCCCTTATATTCCCTGTCTCTTCCTCTAAGATCTCCCATGAAAATTAACGAGACTTTCTTTCAGACTACATCTCTCATGTCTATTAATACTGCTAGTGTCCAGCTCACACCAGGAAATAAACCCGTACACTAATAATATTCAAACCCATTAACAATATTCCAATCCACCGAGTCTATAGCTGCATCTGTATTTCTATCCACTGATCTGCACAGAAGAATGAGCTTGAAACTTCCCATTACAGTGTCTGTAAACTGGGGAGATAAAATGTCACTGCTTCACAGCAATAAGCCGAGGAGATGAAGCCGATCTTTCCCTTCTCTCCTACAGCACGACAATGCATTCCTATCCCAGTTAAGACAAAAAAGTTTCCCAGGACGTGGTAAGATATCTACCTGTGGCTGGGTAGTGGAAGCAGGTGGTGGAGCAGTAGAGAGCCAGAAATCCAAGTCTTCCCCCTGAATTTCAAGAGAAAAAGAAAAAAAAAAAACCCCACAACTATTATGGTTTGTTTTGATATCATCCCTTAAGGAAAAAAAAAATAATCAACTAAATTAAAACCTTACATTTTCATGGAAATGCATCACTCCAGAATGCTGCAGGGCATTTAGAAGCAAATAGTTCAAGAAGCTTAAGTTCAGCCTTTGAGCACACTTCCGAATCTGGCCATAGCTGCCAGTAACTGCAAATTATCCTACGTATCGTCACATCTGCAAGCATGCAAAGCACACTGGCTGCAGCTTCGAGGAAATCTGCATCTCTGCAGAGCACTTAGCCAGAAGGATACTTCAAGTCTTCAGAGTAACTTACAACTAACGTCAGGTTTTATAATGGAAAGATTCTAACATATATGGGGAACAGCATGCGGAACAGAGGCGTGTTCCAGGTATTTTGCTCCAAAGCTCCTCATTTTAAGAACCAACAAAATATCAGTAAACTCAGCTTCCAAAGGAGATCTGGAAGATCTGCTGTGCAGGTTGCAGTAAGCTGAATTCTGCTAACTTATGAGGCTAAGGAAACATTATTTTTATTAACAGAAATCTTCAGATACCTGCTGTTATTGTAAAAATTAAAGGAAATAAAGGTTGAAAACATTCAGCTGGGTGAGTTGTCAAGTGTGACTGTGCCTAAGTAACAAACAAAACACAGCAATAGATCTGGCCCATAACAGCAGTTTCTAAAATAATGCAACTCTTGGAGAATTACCTTTTTTTCTTCTTCTTCCTCTACTACCTTTTTCTCTTTTTCTTTCTTCTTTCCTTTGTCTCTCTCTTTTTCTTTGTGTTTCTTTTCCTTCTTTTTGGGTTTCTTGCTCTTCTTCTCTACTAGGGGAGGTTCCGAGTCCGGTGACTTCAGGGTCTCAACATTTCTGTGTCTCTGCACTGGCAGCTTCTCACTGTCTGCTAAGGGTCTTAAAAATGAAGAGACCATCACCCCTCTGCAAACAGTCTCCCTTAGCTCAGATTATCTGCTGGATGTCCAAGACAAGGTATGCTTTGTTTTTAAGGAGTTGGGGCCCAAAATCTTAAATTAGCACATACTTCTGTACCTGAGGTTTATTTATGTAACTGCAGACACTGCCCTTGGGGATTAGGAGTTCATAGAAACAATCTGAAGGTGACTGAGAGCCAAACTCTTGCTGACACCTGATCACTCTGAAAAGTGGTTGGAAATTATTTTAAGCAATAAATTGTTTCATTTTGGTAGTTTATACTATGACCCTGTACTCTACAATTACATTTTAAAAGTTGTGTTTAATTTCAGACACCTGTTTCCAAAAAGCATGGCTAGTAGTTTAGATTTACACTGGATCCCAAATCCATTACTTGCAAAAAAAGCCCCCCAGAAATGTCTCCATTCTTGTCAAACACTCTTCTTCTATCTCTACAGCTTTTACTTAACATTAATTTTAACGTCTGAGCAGCAAACACAGGTTCAGAAAGATTTCTAATGGTCTCACCTTAATTTTTTTGCTTACACTGCATGGAGAACCAGACCCAATTAATTTTTTTACCTTGAAACAGACACTGTAAGGGCAAGACAGACCCCATCTGTTTGAACAGTAAACAGATCTCATCTTTAAGCTATGTCACCTATACCTGTGCAGGAACCGGGATCGGTGCTGGAAGTCAGCGATGAAATAGATTCACACAAATTTGAGGGTCAACGATTTCAGTAGTTTTACCACCCTTCAAGAATTTACGCTGTCCACTAAAATGAACCAACCTGACAAAGAAGGTCGACCACTTAGCGATATGTTCTTACCTGGCAGGCTTCCCTGAAACCAGACTGCATGTGAGCGTGACACAGACATAGCAGTGCAAGCACAGAAAGAGAGAGAGAGGACAGAGACATGAGAAAACATGACAGGAGAGCACACCGACTCATACGAAGTGGAAAGAGAATGGATGGAAACAATACAAAAGTCCAAAGATGCCTCCTGGAGCACAGCATTCCCAAACTGCTCTGCTCAGTGTTTTCTCTGTTGTAGAGGCTCGTCACGCAAATACAAGCTCTATAGCCAGAAATTAATTTCCTTTTATACATTTGTCCCCTGCAGACTTAGAGCAATGTCACCAGCTCATGAAAAAAGGAAGTTTTTCAGAAACCGTTCTTTCAATTTTTAAAAATACTCCATCACTTCTGTGCAAGGTGCTGAGGGGCCAAACCCCTACAGCTTTGAGAATCGCAGAGAGCAGCAGAGACTGTAAAGTTCAGTATCAGAGAGGAAGAGAGATACTACACACGTGTGCCTGCAGAGCCTTCAGAACTTGTCAGGAGGCATCCATGGACCATAAATCAGCAATTATATTCAGTATGACTATTTTGTAAAATGGCAGCTTAAAAAAAGATCTCCATGTACAATATTGAACAGCCCACTTCTACTTCTCACGCAGCATGCAGGGATTCGGGGTCTGCTGCGCTGCAGGCTGGGGTGCCAGCACCGTGAGCAACTCCAGGAGCCGAATGGGGACCGCACTCTGGGCACAGGTACGATACGCGGGTCACTCCGTCACATCAGAACATTCAACAGTGGCACAACACTGAATGTCCACAGGGCAATGGGGATGCTACAGACCGGTGGCTACTGGCCAAACCGCCACACCGCAGAGCGTACAGGGGCTGAGATGAACACAGACACACGCAGGTCACACAGTGACAATGCAGGTTAGACCAGAGAGTTATTGGGCACACCCTAAAGCTCAGACTAACGTCCTCACATCTGACAGCCTGTGCTTTCAGACTCCATCACACAAAATTATTCCCTCGCCCCTCCCCAAACCCCCATGATTTCAGCAGCTTCATGTTTATCACCTGCACTGCAGCAGGAACCCAAGCCTGGATGAGCACCTAAGGTCACATCCAAGACATGGCGAGAGACTTTGTCTTTTCACCTAGTGGGCTGTAGATTGTGCCTTTGCCTGTTTAGCGCCAGACCTGCCTTCACGCATTCCGGCTAGCAACTAAGGAAATTCACATACAAAACTGTCACTTACTTGTCCAGATCTATATCAAGTGCCTTATAGGGATCATTGGGATCTTTGTCATCTTCATCACTGGGCAAAGCATTCTGCAGGAGAGATGAGAGACCATCCACTGAAGAAGCGAACCGCAATTTCAAAACTAAAACTCTACAAGCCCCAAACCAGTTTAAGGTGGTTAACCCTGGAACAGGCCAGCCTGCAGCCAGGCACAGTATGTTACAGGAACAATGCACTTTAATGCAGCGATTAATTTAGAATAGAAAACCATTCCTCATAAACGGCAAGATTTGAATTGCTGCTCTTTGGTTTTGATTAAAGGAAATTTTAGGAACAAATACAGATGATAATTAATTGCGTATGCTAATGATGTAATCAGCTGCAAACCTGCTGACTAGACAGCAAGTTAATGTCAAAGTGAAGCAGCAGAGCATAATAAATGCAGCGACTATTTGGACAGTGTTATTTTTATAGCAGAGATGCATATGGTTTGTTTTGTTGGGGTTTTTTAATAGCCTCAGTGGCAATTTTTGTCTTTTTGTGCACAAAAAGACAATCATTTCTCCCCTTGCAAGGAACAGCCTGGGACCATCTCAAATCAGTCATTTCTTAAACAGCTTTGCAAGAAATCTGAGCTCTTAAACTGCAACAACACAGACTGCCTGGCAATTCTTGGTGAAAAACCTCCCCAGAAGAGCGCACAGATAAACCCCACGACTCAGATGACCAACCAAAGCCACTGACCTCTGGCATCTCTTCTGTTATGATATCGACATGGTGAGCTGGAGCAATATCCTCCTCACTCTCCGTGTGCAGAGAGTTATGGCGATGATGTTTCCCTCTCTTCTCCTTTTTCTGTTTTTTCTTTTTCTTGTCTTTCTCCAGTTTCTGTTTATGTCTTCGCTCTTCTTCCAGTTTCACATACTGGTCGGACATAGGCATTCCT